TAGCTCCCGGTACTCCTCTGACTTTAGACTTTTTTAAATTTGAACTGCTATTTGTACGTCCACCAGCACGATACTAAAAAATTGAAAACCAATAAGAAATGGAAGCAAGTTTTAATATAAGTTTAAAATTGATGCAAATACATGTTTGGAGTTTTTATTGGTAAGGGCGATATAAAAGTGGGAGGAAATTGATAAATATATTATGATAATAAAATGCATCTAACTATAATAATTTCTCAAAATGATTACATCAAAGGTGCGTTTCATTTGCGGATGCAATAAATTTTTTTAAATAAATGATGACAAAGTCCCAAATAATGTAAATTTTCTGCAAACATTGTCAATCTAATTGAAACTATCATAATACCAGTTTTTTTTCACAATTCTTGCTACGCCAGAATTCATTTTATAATTTTCCTTTATATCTATCATTTACTACTTCTTCCTTACCGAATAGATCCAGACAACGTTTTACATACAATGATCCTAGGTTGACAACGATCCTCTTGATTCTCCTCACCCCCTTGTCTTTCAGAGACATCTTCTTCAGTGGCAATGAGGAAACTTGAAGTAACTTCACCAGTGACTAAACTGGAACCATCTCCATTGAATGATTCGAAATTGGTGTCATTTGTTACTGCTGAGGCTGTCTCTGCTGCTGGAAAATTGTCAGGGATATATTCGTGATGGGAAACTGTAAATATATAAAGAAGCTAGGTGTGGTTATTTATCTATTGATGACAGAGAGAGTTGGAAATAAACTATAGTTGCAATTTATTATTTATTGACTAAAGAGGACGCGTGCAGACATTGGGCTAGGTGTTTGGTAAAAAAAAAATGAATTGAATACAAAATTTAATATTGGCATATAAAACACATTTTAAGTCATGTTTATATAAATTATCATCAATCAAAATTATTGTATGTTTTTCTTAGTGCAAAAAATGATGATAAAATAGTTTTTCGCCTTTTTATACTTATTTTTGCATCATTACAATTTTGTTGATACATCGACACTAAATGTTTTTAGCAAATTGGAGCAGGCGATTGAAAGGATTTCAACTCCATAAACACGTACAAAAGATTTATATACATATGCTGGTGATTTTGAATGTTCAATTACAGATATTTAGTCATAGATAAAAGAAGAGTATATTTAGTCATAGATAAAAGAAAATAATATTTAGTCATAGATAAAAGAAAAATATATTCAGTCATAGATAAAAGAAAAGTATATTTAGACATAGATAAAAAAAGAGTATAATTAGTCATAGATAAAAAAGGAGTGTACTTAGGCTATACTCAAGCTAACTTCATACATAAACAAAACATAAACTCCTACCTGATGGCGCATAGTCGCCATGTTTAAATTATGTTTGCAAAAACTAAAATGGATGTAAAATTGTTCCCTCTCTTGGCTTTGAAACGTCGGTAAAGAAACAAGTTAACTTAAATTTTGGGATCCTGACATTTTTTCTCACGATTTTTACTTTAACATTTTCAGTCTGTTTTGTTTATTAAACCTATCAGGAAAATGGAGAGAAAAACAGACGTGTGCGAAGTATTTCCAAAAAACTATAAATGCGGCGAGTGCGAGTTCCGATAGGACACGTGAAGATTTAATGATTGAGATAATGGCAATGTTGTTAAAATGGAATGAGGAACAACCTAGAATTATCTATCACGTAGATTTCACAAAGACTATAGGATATTTTGATGCCGGAGGCGGAGGCGAAGCAGCAGAAGTCTGGCTAAGCAAGCTAGACAATATTAAGAAAACTCGTAACTGGCCGGACAATATCATTTTAGAGAACGCTCAGTGCCTTTTAATTAAGGGCGGAAGTGACTGGTACGACCTTGAGCAGGATCAAATAAAATCGTGGGAAGATTTTAAAACAAGCTTCAAGAAGGCGTTCATATGCGCTGGAAATTTATCTTCCAGGTGGGAACGCATGAGGAAACGTATTCAGCTCAAGTCGGAGGATGCCAACGCGTACTATTACTCGAAAAGAAAGTTGTGCCAGGCGTTACAACTAAGTTTTGATGAGATGAAAGAACAAGTGCTTATTGGATTACGAGACAAGGACCTATTTTGCATACTGGCTGCAGAGAAACATACCGATGCCTACGAACTGGGTGCAAGCATCTTAAAGCATGAGAGATTGATAGAGGCCAGAAATTTCCTGATGGGTGAAAGCAGTATGACACCACAACAGGCCACTACAAAGGTGAAACGTGCAGTGAAAGAGGCAAATCAGCATACCAGGAACAGGAAACTGAGGTAATCCGGTGCAAGGAGGTTTGATTTCTTGTTGGAAAGAACAGATAGACTAATTCCTTGTTCAAATACTTTTAGGATGAAAATTACACAGAGTTGGGTCTCGACAAGGCAGCACTGGATGAGAAGAGGGCAGTACTGGACCACGAGAGGATGGCACTGAATCAGGAGGTGACTTTAGACCAAAAGTGTAAGGACGATACTGAACCAGGAAAGGGTTGCAATAGATCACAAAAAAAAAGAGGTGATGCAGATGAGAGCAAAGAATGTATAATATCCTCAAATTGCAATAAGACGATAACCAAGAAATGACAAATTAGAGGAACAATCAGAACGAAGAAAAATTACAAAGGACTAGAATATTTGGAATATTTTTGTTCGTAAAAAAAATTTATGTGAAATTGTTAATGGCCGTTCTCTTGGCTTTGAGAGGTCGGTAAAGAAACAAGAAAACTGAAATATAGATTATGACGTAAAGTGATATTGTTATTATTATACATGTGTACTAATCAGTGTGATTATATTGAATTGGTATATTTGGATATATATATATATATATATATATATATATATTTATAAATGATAAAATTGTTCTTGGGCATCCATCCAGTAATTAAAAACAGTTTTATTGAAAGAAAATGTTTTTATTAAGGAAACATACGTTTCGGGTCTTATTACACAAACTCCAAGCTGACAACATGTTTCTTTTGGAATAAGCTTTTTTATAATAAATATATTATTTATTTTTATTTTGATTTTACAATTATTTAAAATTTATTACTTACTCGACGTTTTATCAATTTGTGTTTCATAATTTTTTCGTGCAATTTTCGTGTTTTTGTATTTTTTTTTTCAAATTTATTTGTATGCACTGAAGATGGGTCAAATCAAGACCCAAAACGTATGTTTTTTTTAATAAAAACATTTTCTTTCAATAAAACTGTTTTTAATTACTGGATGGATGTGCCCAAGAACAATTTTATCATATTATTTCACCATCTGAAGAAAAACCTCTGGCTTTATATATATATATATATATATATATATATATATATATATATATATATTTGTATAGAATTTTGAGATATGAGTGGAACGAATATTAACATTTAATATATTATATGTGTTTATGAAAAAATTAGCAGACCAATACATCGAACAAAAATTGTGTAGTGTTTTCTTTACTATGTCACTAAATGAGCTAAAAACTGCTAATGTTTTTTTATTCTGCTTGCTCTTTTTTAATTGTAATCCACCCAGTGTGATATAAAATAATATATCAAAACGTTTGGTAGTTTAATAAAGACTTCTACATTTTTTGTTTGATGTACTGGCCTGAAGATTTTGCAAGACATATCCAACATCAAAAACATTATATTAAAGAACTCAATATATATTTGTGAGTATATATATACCCACAAGCATATGGATACGATTATTTACCCGCAGAGTTCTTCGAGGTACTAACATCATCCAAATTCATTACTTTTTTGTATATGAGTGTCGAGTATATGGGAGCACTAGAAAAGAAACAAAATATTACTAAATCAAGAAATTAAATGCATAGCATATGTAAATAGACATTCAATTTAAAAGTAAATGTCTGCTTAGCAATTTTCTAATAAAATATAATGTGCAGAATGTGGAATTGGGTGGTGATCAAAAACAATGACTTCCAAATATCGCTAATTTGTTAAAAAAGCCATGACTGGTGGCTAATTATGGTTATGCAAAAGTATATGTTTTGACACAAAAACCAATGTTTGCTCCACATTTTAGAATGATAGAAAATGCCAAATTAAGTCTGGTATGTACTTGAAAAGCCAACTCTAGAAACACCAAGCTGGTCAGGATAAAAAAAAAAACGAATATGCAGTTTAGGGCTAACCTTTCTCCTGATATTGGCGTTAAAGTTGTCTCTTGCACCTTATCATTAGGCTGTTGAACCAGAACACGAGTAGGAGCTGTCACAGGAATTTGGAGCAGTGGCGTTAAAAGATGCGCAGAAGCAGATTGAAGCTAAAATGATCAAAATCAATTATTAAATATAGGTAAATATATTCAATTATTCACTTGTTCTAACTGCTGCTGCATTCTCTCCTGCTGCAGTAGAAGTTGTTTCCGCTGTTGTTCCAAATACTGCTGCCTGGAGATCCTGTGCTGCTGCTGCTGCGCGTGCAACTGCATTTGTTGCTGTTGTAATACTTGCTGCGCCGGCATCTGAGTGAGAACGCCGCAGCATCCAATCAACTTGCAGCAGCCTTTAGCCGATCCAGGAAAGCAGCAGCCGAGACCACACCGGCCGAGAGGTGGCTGGCATGGAGGGCATGGTGGACATGGAGGAGGTGGTAGTGCTGGAAGTGGAAGCAGATGTAGAAGTGGGACAGGAGATGAAGGAGTGACCACCAAAACGGTGGGATTTGTTGTTGTGGCGGTGATTACTATGAGGGGAAATTGGATGGTTTAGAAGTTGTCAGTATTGACTTAAGAATTCAACTCACAAATATTTTATTGCTGCTGGTTATTCTTTAGTTGTTCGACAACTTCGAGTTGAGGGCAGCAAATAAACCATCAAAGAAGGTATGAACTAATGATCTGTAAGTTTTATAGTTTTTTAAAATTGAAGAAGAAGCAGTAAGAGTTGATGCTTCAACTAGTAATGTTGGTCACCATAACCACAAATATTTTGTAAGACCATTACCAAAAAAGAGCCAATTATCAATTACTAACCTCCACCTGATGCAATTCGGGGTTTGTTTTGAATGTCTCTCATGGTATTTGTTAACTTATGTTCCTTTTGTGCATTGTTATGAGCATCCTGAAACTGTTGATTTATCTCCATTACTGGTTGCACATTTTGACCCTGCGACTGCTGATGAACTTGCTGATTTTGGTATTGCTGAAGTTGTCGAAGCTGTTGTCGCTGCTGATAAGGTTGTTGCTGTTGGCACTGTTGATCTTGAACAGGTGCTTGCTGTTGAACGTTATGCTGTTGATTTTGAACAGGTGCTTGCTGTTGAATGTTATGCTGTTGATTTTGAACAGGTGTTGCTGCTGAATGTTATGCTGTTGATTTTGAACAGGTGCTTGCTGCTGAATGTTATGCTGTTGATTTTGAACAGGTGCTTGCTGCTGAATGTTATGCTGTTGATTTTGAACAGGTGCTTGCTGCTGAATGTTATGCTGTTGATTTTGAACAGGTGCATGCTGCTGAATGTTAAGCTGTTGATATTGAACAGGTGCTTGCTGCTGAATGTTATGCTGTTGATTTTGAACAGGTGCTTGCTGCTGAATGTTATGCTGCTGATTTTGAACAGGTGCTTGCTGCTGAATGTTATGCTGTTGATTTTGAACAGGTGCTTGCTGCTGAATATTATGTTGTTGATTTTGAACAGGTGTTTGATGCTGAATATTATGCTGTTGATTTTGAACAGGTGCCTGCTGCTGAATGTTATGCTGTTGATTTTGAACAGGTGCTTGATGCTGAATATTATGCTGTTGATTTTGAACAGGTGCTTGATGCTGAATATTATGCTGTTGATTTTGAACAGGTGCTTGCTGCTGAATATTATGCTGTTCATTTTGAACAGGTGCTTGCTGCTGAAAATTATGCTGTTCATTTTGAACATGTGTATGCTGCTGAATGTTCTGCTGTTGATTCGATTGCGGTTCATGAGTTTGTAGTTGCTGTTGATGCTGTAATTCTTGTAGTTGCTGTTGGTGCTGTAATTCTTGTATTTGCTGTTGTTGCTGTAGTAACTCATGTTGTAAATGCTGCTGTTGTTGTATTTCGTGTTGTAAATACTGTTGTTGTAATTCATATTGCATGTGTTGCTGTTGTACACTTTGTTGTTGAGACTGTTGCTGCGGATATTGACGAAGTTGTTGGTTAATTTCAGTCAGCATTTCATGTGCCTTCATTTCTGCACTTTCTGGCGTTCGCGAAGTCGGAGAGGCAACTGCGAAAATAGAACAAAATAATAAATTAAAATATATATATATATATATATATATATAACTAGTGAGGTGCACGGCATCGTGTCTTAAGGCAAATTTCTGGAACTTCCCGTACCGTAATTAAAAATCTTGGTACAAATTTGTTTACTGGGTTTTAAAACCCAAAAAAAAATTACACAAAATGTGTACACATTATTAAAATCTCTATAAAATATCTGATAATTTGATGTGCATATGTCTAATGATTATTTTTGACCGCCAAAAGACATTTTTCAAACTAATTTTTATTGAGAGTTCATAACAGCTAGACCTGCATTCCCAAAAATTTGATCAGTTCTTCATCTTGTCAATACAAGTAAAATGTTTTTTGAATTATTAAAATCGGACGCTCCGTTCTCCTAAGAAGTGAGTTACCGTTTTTGGCACTTTTTGCACCGTATCTTCGGAACGGCTAGACCTGCCTCCGCCAAAAACTAATCAGCACGTATCCTTATCAATACAAATCAAATGTTTTTTGAATTATTCAAATCGGTTGATCCGTGCTCCAGAAATCGTCGACGAAAATTTGTATCCGCACACACACACACACAATGCATCCATTTGTTCTAAGGTTAATGATTTTTAACTTCCCGTAGGGTAAGTTATAGTAATCGCAAAAAAATCGAAAATGAAATTTTTATATATCTTTAAGTTTTAGAGGTTTCTGAACATTTGGCATACCTTAGGAGAAATGGATGTATGTGTGTGTGCGGATTCGGAGTATATGCGTGTGTGTGAGGCAGGTCTAGCGGTTTCGGAGATCCAGTAAAAAAAGTAAAAAAAATGCCAATTGGCGGTCATATGTCATATGTCATATGTCAAAAAAATGACATATGCACATAAAATTTTCAGAATTTTATAGAGATTTTAACAATAAGTATAAATTTTGTTTACATTCCTATGGGTTCCGTACCAATGTTTATCCGTTAGACGCCGACGCGGCGCTTACGCGCTTCGATATTTGGCCTCTATGCAGTTAATGCAGTACGATTGCTTTGAGAAAAAGTTCAGAACTTCCAAAATATTTCAAAATAAAGAAAACATTTTTTTTCCAAAAAGTATCTTTTTTCCAAAAAAAATATTTTTCAAAAATTTATAGTTTCTCAAAAATCTAATTTTTTCAAGTAAATTTGTTTCAAAAATGTTAATCTTTTAAAAAAAAAATATTATTTAAGTTCCAGCAATTTGCCTAAGACACGATGTCATGCGGCCTACTAGTTTACTTTCCATAGGGTAGGTTATAGTAATTCCAAAATAAACTTTATCTTTACATTTCAGAATCTTCTGAACATTTTGGCATATCTCATAAAAAATTGATGTATGTGTGTGTGTTTGTGTATGTAGTATGTATATGTGTATGCTTGGATACAGATTGTTGACATGATCACAATTATGATAACAGAAGAATAAATAACGGATGTATGTCTAAAAATTACCATTGCCTGCTCCTGGTAAGGCAGGAGCCAGTACATGAAGCATTGGAGAGTTGAATCCAGCTTGTTGTTTAGGTGGTGCTGGTGTCTGACTTGATGTATCTTTTGGTAGTTCAAGAGGCTCTGGAGAACTGCCTGACTCAGTCATCTATAACAATTTAATTAAAATATAATATGTCTAGTCACTCATCATGAACTAGAATTACCTTAGGTTTTTCAGCTTCTTGAATTTCTTCATCTAAATCTTCTCTATGGAGAGGCTCTTGAATGTTAATATGTTTATGGTAAGGAACCTAAGAATTAAACAATTTAAAACCAATTTTAATTTAAATCAATTTTTTTAAATAAACATATTCAGACTCACTGCACCCTTCACAGTCTCATGCTTTGTGTGTTTGTGGTACTTAGTTCCAGCCAAACCAGGTGGTAGTTTGATGACAACCTGCCAATGAATTGATTTATTAAATATTTTGATTAAAAAATTTGAATGATATAGTATAACGTCCTATTTTACCGTTGTAGGATTTGTACACAATCGAGTGAAAGAATCTCCATTAGGCATATATTTCTGATTGGGAAGACTGATCTTCTGCAAGTGTTGGTTCTGCGACATTTCCAATTGTCTCTGTTCCACCTGATACTCCATAGCCTGCTGTTGCTCTAGCTGCAACTGTTGTTGTTCTATCAGCTCCAACTCCATTTTCTCTTGGTGTTCTAGATTATCCAACTCCTGCAGCTGCTTGATTTTGTCCTCTTCTAGAGCAGTTCGCTGTCGAGCTAAATTTTCTACAAAATATAAAAATTAATGATATTTAAAACTTCATGAAGTCTTTTATTATTTGGTTACCTAATTCTTCCCTCTGTTTATCCAATAGTTCTCTCTGAATCTTTAGTTGTTCCTGAAACTGTTTAAAAGTCCGGATTTGTTCATCATCTATTGCTGCTCCCCCAGACCTCCTGGGTAAAATAGGCTGCTGTTTTTGTTGATCGTGTTGTTGCTGCAGTAATCTCCTCTTTTCATCTGCTGCTTCTTCTTGTTCCTTTTCTTGCCTTCGACGACGCTTTTCCTCCAACTCTTCTCGGCAATTTAAACGCTCTTGTTCCAACTAAGAGGAAAGTAGAACCAGAAAAGATTGATGTAAATCAGAAACTCTTTATAATAATTTAAGTACTTATATCAGGTATGATAAAACATCACCTTCTCTAATCGCTGTTGCCTTTCCTGTTGCATTTCTTCCAAACGCTTCTTCTCCCTCGCTAACTGCTCCTCTTGCTCTTTTTGTTGTCTATCTTGCATCATCTGCAATTGCTTTTGTTGCTGCATCAAACGCAATTGTTCCTGCTGCAAGGCTCCATGCTGTATTTGTATTAAATTTTGTTTGTCTTCACCACCACGATTTACCTGATTACAAAAAATCATTAATAGATAACAAAAAAGTGAATATAGTGATGGAGATTTATATTAAACTTGGCCCATTGACAGGTTGTGCACTTTGAATAATTGAATATGAAAAAATAATATTATATAGTGCATAATTATTATCAAGAAAGTTTATGTGTATATAGACAAAGTATATTAAAAAATATTTTATTTACTGTTTGTTGCTGTTGCAGCTTTTTTTTCTGTTCCTGCTGATCACGTTCTCGTTGTAACTCAGCTGCTATTCTAAAATCAATAACTGCTTTATTTTTCTATAAAATGGATGATTTGAGTGTTTTATATTTAATAAGTAAATTAGACGGACTAGTAAACACTACAATATAAATAATTTCCTCAATACCTTTAAAAAAAATTCAACACATAATTGAGAAATGGAAAACACATAAGAAGAAACAGTCTGACAGATCTTTACCAACAACTAATCAGCATGATTCCCAACCAGTATCATTCAAACAGGTTTTGCATTTTTAAAATCGACGGATTTTAAAACTGTTTTCAAATTTGGTCTCATTCGATTCAGAGTGGATTGAAACGTTCTTGTAATTAATTGTTGAAAAAAATGTTTTCGATAACTTTTATGAATTTTTTTTGCTATAGATATCATGGTCTTCTAGAACATACTAAAATAATACGGCCCTACGGCAATTTAGTTTAATTAACTTCCCAAAGGAGAATAAGTTTGTTTTAAAAAAAAAAACCCGATTTGCAAATTTTATGTTTTCTTGACTTTTCAAGCCATTCTGAATCGAATGAGACCAAATTTGGAAAAACTATGTGTGTGTTGTTCACATACACATTTTTTGCTGTAAATAGACGTCGTCTTAAAAACAGCTGGATCGATTTCAAAAATTTAAAAACCATTCGAGGCATCTCGATGACTAGCGTTTATCAATTTGGCGCGACGATCAGCAAAGCCGTTTCTTTGTAAATAGCAGAAAAGTGAAAAAAATTTCGTCCACGTTTTAGCCCGCAATTCTGAATCGATTTTGAAAATTCAAAAACCGTTCGAAAGATATTAGTTGGGAATCGAGCTGACTAGTTTTTGGTAAAGATCGGCTGGGCCGTTTTCTTGTAATGAATTGTTAAAAAAATTTCGACGATTTTTATGTTTTTTTTTTTTGATGATATTATTATGTTTAATATCATAAAAAAATCAACCGAAATTGACACAATAACAACATTTATAATAATCTATTTAGAAAACATTTAATATTTCTCGAACATTTTCGTTACGCTACGGGAAGTTCCAGCAATTTGCCTTAAGGTACGATGCCATACATCACTAGTTTTTTTTATGTATTGTAAAATTTATTTTTTGTAATTACATTAGATTTGCTAAATGTGAAACATATCAAGTAACAAATCATATAAATAAAGAATTTTGTTTTATGTATCAAATATATGTTTCAACATGGTAAAAACGTTCAAAATAAAATTTAATATCTTTCTCTTATAAATCTATTAACCTGCGTTGCTTCTGCAGCTGCCGTTGCATGGCAGCCAATTGCCGTTGTTGTTGCTGCACCTGCTGCTGTAGCATCTGCTGCTGCAGAAGTTGCTGCTCCAGGAGAGCCTCTTGAGTCACGACGCGTCTTATTCCAGGTGGAATTGCTGCATGTCCAGTGTCTGTAAACACTAAATAAAAATGTAAAAAGTTAAACTTGTAGTGCGTTGCATCGTGCCTTAAGGCAAATAGCTGGAACTTCCCGTACTATAATAAAATATTTGATGAATATTAAATTATTATAAAGATTTTTATAAATAGTGTAACTGACACTCATATTTTATAGACGAAATGTAAGAGCTTATAAATTGGACTGTGACGTTTATAAATGTTTACATAACTAGTGGGGTGTGTGGCATCGTGCCTTAAGGCAAATTGCTGAAACATTATTCCCGTACCGTAACGAAATGTTCGAGGAATATTGAATGTTTTCAAATAGATTAATATAAATATTGTAACATCTTCTAATATTTATAAGAATTATATAAACTGAATTGCAAAGTTGAAATTATTTGTTTAAAGTATATTAGAACTATCAAAATTAAAAAGTCAAAATTAAAAATAGAATCTGAATTATTTTCGATATACAAAGAAACTTTTTTTTTAAAAAAAAAAGTTGAAACAAAAATCTTTTTTTTCCATAATCAATTATTTTGTTAAGACAAGCAGAAAGTTCTTTGAATCATTTGAATCGGACGCTTAGTTCTCTCAAAAACTGCCATTTTTTGTACATTTAGCCCCGTATCTTCGAAATGGTTGAGCCTGCCTTTACGAAAAACTAATAAACACTTCTCCGAATCATTGCTAATTGAATGTTTTTTAGATCATTCAAATCGGATGCTCCGATTCCGATGCTCTTTATCTCCGTAACTGCTGGACCTGTCTTTGCCAAAAACTAATCAGCACACCTTCTTATCAATCGAATCGATATGTTTTTTAAACCATTCAAATCGGTTGATCCGTACGCCCGAAAACGTGGACGAAAAATTGTATCCATACATACATACACACACACCCATTTTTTCTGAGGTATGCCAAAAGGTTCAGAAACCTTCAAAACGCCGAGAAATGTAAAAATTTTCAATTTCGATTTTCGGCCCATTACAATAACTTACCCTACGGGAAGTTAATAAAACTTAATCAAGCTGATTTAGTATTAAAATACCTTATCTCATATTTCTGAAAACGTACAAATTTAGAATTATTTATTCTAAGTATATATACTTAGGAATTTTAGCTAGAATTAAAATTAAAATCAGGATCATTTCTAATATTTAAAAAAACATTTTTTTTACAATTTGAAAAAAAATTTTTTTTTGAAACTTGAAAATAAAAATTGTTTTGCCTTCTCCAAAATCTAATCACTTCTTTACTTAACACACAAAACTAATCAATTATTTTTTGAATCATTCTAATCAGATTTTAAAAATTTAGAAGCCATTCAAAGCAGCTCGATAAAGATTAGCGTTTGACAGTTTTGTATAATTTTATTCCACGTTTCTGCTCACAATCTTGAATAAATTTCAAAAATTCAAAAACTGTTCGAAAGATATTGTTGATTTAGTTATTGGTAAAGATCGGCCGGGCCGTTTCTTCGTTGTAAATGTTGAATATATGTTGAATGACTTTGATGAAACTTTGTAAAACGATAAACTCTGTAGTCTGAAATAAATTCGTCAAATTTTATAATGTTGCTTTATGCTTGAATGATATTCTAATCGGAATCTGTGCCGAAGCATATGTACGCTCTTTGGTGTTTCGTAAGTAGCTACTGATTACAGTTGACATCTAAACAAAATATATTTTTAGAACACGAAATGGGTGTAATGAAATTTGGTAAGCGCCTTAATTAACTTGCCGCAGGGTAAGTTGGTTATAGTAATAGGCCGAAAATCGAAAATGATTTTTTTTGCATATCTTCACGTTTTGAAGGTTTCTGAACATTTTGGCATACCTCAGAAAAAATGGATGTGTGTGTGTTTTTTGTATGTCCGCATTTTTTTGTTCACGTTTTCGGGCGCACGGATCAACCGATTTGAATGGTTCAAAAAACATTCGATTCCTATTGATAGGTGATTAGTTTTTGATAAAGGCAGGTCGAGCCGTTACGGAGATACAGAGCAAGGAGTGACAAAAATAGAAATCGAGATTTTGAGAGAACAGAACGACCGATTTGAATGATCTAAAAAACATTCAGTTCGTAATAATGAGGAAAAGTGATGATTAGATTTTGGCAAAGGCAAATTGTGCAAAAAATGGCAGTTTTTGAAAGAACTAGGCATCCGATTTGCATGATTCAAAAAACTTTCTGCTTGTTTTGACAAAATAGTTGCTTTTGAAAAAAAAAATTTTTCTAAATTGTGTATTGAAAATTATTCAGATTTTAATTTTAATTCTGGCTGAAGTTCTAATCCTCACTTATATACTTTAAATGAATAATTTTAACATGGCAGTTCAGTTTATATAATTTTATAAATAAATATTAGACAGTGTTACAGTATTTATAATAATCTATTTCAAAACATTTAATATTCCTCGAACATTTCATTACAGTACAAGAAGTTCCAGCAATTTGCCTTAGGGCACGATGTCATACACAACCAGTTTAATTTATACAATTACAGATATTATAAGCATGTTTGAAAGACGTTAATTGGAAATCGCATTCATTACTTTTTAGTGAAAGCAAAAATTTTATTTTGGAATTAAACAGAGACTATATGACATTTTAGCTAAATAGCTGAATCTCATGGGCCAATTCTGCCGCACAACAGTCCAAAGTTATGGCAAAGCCATGTTACGCCCCAACTTCCATACATAATGCTACTGAATCATACTGAATACTGTCAAAATATCATATATTTGCTGCGCATTCAAGCGTTTTACACATATACTGCATCGTCATTTGTATGTTATGAAGCTGGGTCAGAAAGACCCTTTTGTCTAAAATCGTTTTTTCTGACATTTGTGCGGTTTTTAAGTTAGGCTTTCTATCAGACAACCCGAGGAAAAACGCCTGACTGCACAGCAACCATATGGTATTTGTCAATATTTAGTATGGAAACTTTTTCATGACATAGCCTTGCCATAACATTGGCCTGCTGTGCGACAAAATCGGTCCATCAATTCCTATTGATCAAGTTTATTATGTGTACATATCGGGAAGTTCACGCAACTTGCCTTAATGCAAAATGCTATTTACAACTAGTTTAAATACTAATGACCGTTAATAATTAAATACTCACAGTTTTCTGGAGGAGAGACATCACCATCATCAATGCTTTCAGAACTGCTCGTAGTCTCCACTTGCACCATGAGCAAAGAGCCATTTATGCTGCCAGTATATAAACATTCGCAAGCATCTAGAAATAAGAATAAACTAGATGTAAGTGGCATTTTGTCTAAAAGCAAGTTGCAAAAATGTTGTCTTAAGCACTGTGCACACAACACCAGTATTTCTTGTAACATATTTTCTGTCAAGTTTTTATCGAAAGGTGTACAAAGAAACTATTTTACTTGAATGTAAACATATATGTATTAGAATAAATCCATTTGATGATTTTATCTCATATTTATAAGAATTAAATAAAATGCTTGAGTCATATTTTATGTTTAAATAGGATCACCTTACGATAAAAGCATGACAGAAAATATGTTACAATAAATACTGACGTCGCGTGCACCTGGCTTTAAACAATGAGAAATCGTTATATTAAATAATTTACAATGGATTTATAAATGTACATAGTTGCTGTAGGGCACTACAATGTGAAAACTAGTTGAAAGTGGCATTTTGCCTCGAAGCAAGTTGCATTAACTTCCCGAAGTGTGTAATAATTGATTTAATCAACCGAAACTGAGATTTAGAAATATTTAGATAAAATTTTAAAATGCACAATTATATCATGTGCACAGCATTGCACAGATATATCATGTACGTAGACCTTGAAATTATTAAATGATTTAAATTAATGTTTTTTTAAACATTTTTTATACAACTGAGATTTGTAGACTTATTTTCCCATAGATTCCAAAAAATGGCTTTTAAATATGTGAAATCAGAAAACGACTTTTGACACAGATCATATTATTTCAGATTTTGATGATTTTTTAAAATTAAACAACTTGCTGTAGGATCGTAATATTTTAGTATGTTCTTTAGGATCATGATGTTTATCAACATATAAAGTTTTATTGAAAAAAGTTTCAACAGTTAATTGACGGCTTGCCCGATCATTGTCCAAAACTAATCAGCTCGATTCCCAAATAATAAATAAACTTTCAAATAGTTTTCGAATTTTTAAAATCGATTCAGAATTTTTCGTCTAAAATATTTCACTTCTCTTTTGCCTCTTCGATATTTTTCACTTTCCTCATTACTAAGAAACGGCTCTGCCGATTGTCACAAAACTGAGAAACGATAGTCCTTATCGAGATATATCGAATGGCTTTTAAATGTTTGAAATCGGTTCAGAAGGTTTTAAGCAAAACGTCGACGAAAGGCCAAAAATCGGCTCATACACGCACACAGATACTTTTTTCAATTTTGACCTCATTCGATTCAGAATGGCTTGAAACGTCGAGAAAACATAAAATTAGCAAATCGAACTTTTTATGAAAACAAGCTTTTCCTTCGGTTCCAAATTTCGATTACACTTTATAATTAAACCATTTATTGTAGGTCTCTAATTTTTTATTATGTTCCTTCGGTTCGGTTCCAAATTTCGATTACATTTTATAATTAAACCATTTACTGTAAGTCTCTAATTTTTTAGTATGTTCATTAAGACCAGGAACTCTATTGCCATACAACGTTTCATTAAAATCCAAAAAACGACCCGACTGATCTTTGCTAAAAATTCATGAATGATATATTCACATATTATTCCGAAAGATGGCTGCAAGTGCGTTCGACTTTTCTTCACGCCGTAAAGAACTGTCTGAATTTGCTTACTCCATTAACTTTCAAGCCCACAATCGAAGACGCAAGAAATTATTGCTGCTGGTTTTACATCCATTATTGGAATTTTTGGAGATCCTTCTGACCGCAAGGCGGAAGGATCCAATAACAAAAGTAGAAACTCTCTTACGATATGAATATATCATATTATAATACTGTGTAGGCTCTCTTACGATTCTTGTTTAGCAGAATTTATAGAGTAAAGGCTACCAGTTGTAAGTAGCATTTTGCCTTAAGGCAAGTTGCATAAACTTCTCGATGTGTATATATAATCAATTTAATCAATAAGAATTTATATTAAGCTTATTTAGATAAAATATTTAATTAGTTATTTCTAAATTAAAATTTTCGCTTTCACTAAAACATAATCAATCCAATTTCCAATTGATGTCTTCCAAAGAAAGTTATCTGTAATTGCATAAAATTAATAGGTTTTACTTATTTCAGTTCATCCATTTCGGATTTTAAAATTGTATGTTTTTGGAGTGTGGATGTCAACTGTAATCAGTAGCTGTAATCCATAAAACACAGAACCAGAGATAAAAGAAAAGTATATGCACGGCGCCTACATGTGCACGGAAGACGTAGATTATCGAAATTTCAAACTTTGATGAATTTTTATAATTTAACCGTTTATTGTAGGGCTATGATATTTTATATTAGTATGTTATTTCTAACTACGAGATATATGGTTATACAAAGTTTCATCAAAATCGCAAAACAAACTCAACATTTAATTAGGAAGAAGCGGCCGGGCCGATCTTTACAAAACCGGACTCCTAACCAATATCTTTCGAAAAGTTTTTGAGTTTTTAGAAACGATCCAAGATTGTGGAAAGTAAATTAATCCAAATTTCAATTACTTTTAATATTTAAACCATTTATTGTAGGTCTCTAATTTTTTAATATGTTCATCAAGACCAGGAACTCGGTTGCCATACAACGTTTCATTAAAATCGAAGAAACAACCAGACTGATTTTTGCCTAAAATTTATTAATGATATATTTTTAATAGTTTTAGAATTTTCAAAATCGGTTCAATCATTTTTGAGAAAACGTCAATATAAATATAAACATAATTTCTCCTTTGGGAAGTTAAAAATAAACTAGTAGTTATGGCATCGTGCTTTAAAACAAATTGCTGGAATTTCCCGTACCAAAAATTATTTTTTTTAACAAAGATTAAATTTATTTTAAACTTTGAAAAAAATTGATTTTTAAGAATTTTGAAATGTTTGAAAAAATGACTTTTTTGAAATCAATTGACTTTATAAAAAAAAATATTTTGAAATATTTTGGAATTTTGAATATTTTCGCTGCTTTAACTATAAAGACAAAATATCGAAACGCGTAAGCGCCGCGTAGCAGTCTAACGGACAAAAAAATATTACGCAACCCATGGAAATGTGAACAAAATTCATACTTATTATTAAAACCTTTATAAAATACTCTAATGATCGTATTTGACCTCCAAATGCCCTTTTATTACTTTTTTTACTCGATCTCCGAAACCGCTAGACCTGCCTTCCCAAAAATTATTCAGTTCTTCATTTTGTCAATGCAAATAAAATGCTTTTTGAATTATTAAAATCAAACGCTCCGTTCTCTTAAAACTGACTGAGTTACTGTTTTTGGCACTTTTTGCCCCGTATCTACGAAACGGCTGAACTTATTATGTCCAAAAACTAATCAGCACGTCTCCTTATCAATAGGAATCGAATGTTTTTTGAAATTATCAAATCGGTTGATCGGTGTTCCCGAAATCGTCGACAAAAATTTGTATCCGCACACACACACACACACACACACACTGTATTTCCTAAGGTACACCAAAATGTTCAGAAACCTCTAGAACGTAAGGTTATATAAAAAATTCCGATTTTTTGCAATTACTATAATTTACCCTACGGGAAGTTAACTATATATATGGATGACAGATTTTCATTAATTGAATTTTTGTTCATTGATTTGTTATTGATACGCTATTTAAGACAAGATGTGTTTTTGGTTTTAGCAAATGCAAAATGAGGTTCTTTGAAACCAGTTGGAACCCTAAATAAATTCGTCAACACAATTATTCTTGTTTCTTCATATTTATTCTTCCAAATTGAAATGACACCTATATTAAGTAAATTCCACCTAAATACTATTTCTATTCCTCACCTGGCATAGGAGCCTGTGGCACCGACAAAGCGCCCCTTGATCTCCTCCGATGTCTGTGTCCTTCGATAACAGTCGGCCCAGGACCTCCTTGGGGAGCAATTCCAGTGGCAGCTAAGGACTCGCTGCCTGTTCCAGCGCCCAATGTACCCCCGGAATGGGAATCGGCATATGGAGGCGTCAGGGGTTGTTGACCGGCCTCTAATCGACGATGTTCAGAATGGTCTGGGTAATAAAATGGTAATGAAAATTTTGATATAAAAATATTTATAAGGAAATCTTACTTGCAATAAATTTCTCGCAAGCATTGATGTCATCTTTATCAAATACAGCTTGGTGATATCCTGCAGAAGATAAGGTGTCTCTTACTCGTTGTCTTATTGATGCTTCTTTGAGAGCCTTTTCTGACATTTCTATAAATTGAAAAAAAATCATCAATTCACATATATATATATATATATATATATATATGTGTGTGTGTGTGTGTGTGTGTGTGTAACAAACTAAGATTAACGACGACGGTATTTGCATTTGTATTACCAATTAATTGGTTCAGAAAAGATAGCCGGTTAGACAGATACATTAATTTTAATTCTTTTACACTTCTCAATATAAATTTCTCCACAGTTCTCAGCTTAATGGACCATGCAATTCTTTTATCAAACCCAAAATTTCACAATCACAATATTAAATTAGTCAAACACATTACTCATGAATAGTTTTCCTTGCAAAATAATCAATCCAATAATTAAAAACAGGATATAACTACACATTATCCAGAAAATTTGTCTGTATGTGAAAACAATATTTTGTGAATTTTCTGTATGTGGACAACAAGTTACACTTTCTGTAGAAAAGACTTTTTACTATACACAATATTAACATATTGGTTTCACCTTTACTAAAATTACGAGATATATACACAAACATAAAAGATAGTATTTCTACCATAAAAAGAAAAAACATCGTTTACAAAATAAACAGCTTGAACTGTGACTCATCTTATATTGGGCAAACTTGCTAATATAATATTATTTAATAAATTAGTGCTAAAAACAGAGTGCTGTTTGCTCATATTTCTAAATTAATATATATATGTATATATATTCCAGAAGTCTATGTACCTTGGCTATTAGCTTTCAACTCATTTTCAAAAATTTGAGTACCAGCACGTTCTTCGCTTTTGTCTACTGGAAGCATGGAACTGCTACCACCAATTGTTGCAGAGTGCCTTGATGTTCTAGAATTCTATATAAATAAATATTTACCAAATTATTTGTGATAAAAAAACTAGATGTAAAAAATTATCTAAATTAATTTAGATAAATATTGTATTTATCAGAATTCATTAATATTAGTCAGTGCCTTCTTACACTAAATCTTCGATTTTTTTAAAAAAAATATATGATTTTTCATTTATATTTACTCCTATATTATGGAAATATAAGATATCGTTTCTTCAGAAACCATCAAAACAAACATTTGCTTTTTATATACTTATACAATTAATACTTATACAATTGAATTACAAACAAAATTTTTTTTTAATTAAAACCTAAAACTTTTTCTTTTTAAATTCACTTCACATTTGTAGTATTAAACTTGAAAAAAAAAACTTGAATAAACACACTCACTGAAAATTTAATAATTCATTCAGTAAAAATTATAATAGCTAATACTTTGATTATGATTGTATAAATATGGACTAAACATTTTTGACTGATGTTTAGTTTTTTTTTTACGTTTGTGTATAAACACTAATTCATTATAAATACTATTTGTTTGTCCCCTGGTTGTCCTTTCTTAAAGTAGCCAAAGCCAAAAATGGATGTTTAAAAAATTAAAAAAAAAAATAGTAATAAAAGTTTGAATTTTGAATTTTACTGAACATAGTTCCCCTGGTTGTTCTTTCTTAAATCAGCCAAAGCCAACAGTGGACGTTTAAAAATTAAAAAAAAATAGTAAAAAAGTTTTTATTTTACTGATCATAGTTCGATAGTTGCTTGTTGAATACATGTTATGTGTTGTTATGTCATCTCTTTTTATCATTAATCTTTCCTGATAAAATTATTTTACTTGCAGATATAATATATGAATACAACTAATAAATCAATAACTAATTTTCCTCGCTTGAATTAAATAAAGGAATCAAAATAGATTTTACTACAAAACAATATAAAAATGAAAAATAGCTTTACAGGCAATGATATAGATCAAATAAAAGTATTAAATTTAAAAGTAATTACATTATAAAAACTAAATGTATTTGAATCATTATAAAGTATCTAAAACCTTTAAATATAATACTTAACTGCGGAAGATAGAAAAAAATATTAAGTATAACAAATTTTGAAAACACAGCACAGTGTACAAAATAATTTGAAAATATTTTCGGACTTAGGTCTAGCAAAATACAAAATACACACAATATTATATAAACATGAACAATAGTAAAATAAATTCCGAATTTTTAGTCTTTTAATATGCATGTAACCATACCTAGATTTATAGTTCAAAGTATTATCAATTATAATTTTTACTGAATTCTGAACTTTAATCAGCATTTATCTAAAATATCAATTTTTATTTTAATACTTCAAAAGTAAAATGTAAATTTATCAATTTTTCAATAATTAGTGTATAAATTAAAAAAAATGTTGTTTTTAATCATTTCTAAAAAAAAGAGACATTTCATATATTTGAAAAAATGCTTTCTTTTTTCTCATTTAAACAATAATTTTCTTACAACATATCTCGCTTCCATCTCACTCATATATCTTCCTTCTGAAAAATCATCATAAGAATCATTGTCTTCGGGTACTTCTTCATTCACAAAACGATAAAATGATTTTCTCCTGAAGCCTCCACATTTTCTGTTTGTGACAACTCTCATCACTAGAAGAAAAAAATCAAGAAAATAATTAATTTGCATGAGAATGTTATTAGTAATATATTTATTATTATAGTTATTATTATTAATGTTATTATTAATATATTTATTATTATAGTTATTTTATTAATGTTAATATGAATCTATGTGTAAGTGAATTAGAAGCAAGTTACATAATCTTCTAAAAACAGTAAATTCTTAAAGAAATCTCAAAGTGTTTTAATTAAATCTCAAAGATTCAATTTAAACACTTAAAAAAAAATAAGATTTTGCTTTTGTGGTAAAATTTGCCACTTTTTATTTTAAATATATAAAGTTCGTTTAAATACCAGAAGAATGGTCAAAAATCAAACAAATTTGTGTGAAATCATGTAAAATGTTGTAATCATTACGAGGAGAATGATTTCACTCAATTGTTGTGGGGTTCTTTAACCCTCCGTCGGGCGCAGTCCCGTTACGCACACGTTCGGGCGCAGTGTATCCGACAGCAACGGTTTTTAAGTATATCCGTGTAAATTTTTTGTTTAATTATATTTCAGAATGTATACTTTTTGAATAAATAGAAAAAAAAAGAATTCAATAATATTTATTATAAAATGTAGAAAAAATATAAAACCTGTGTATATATGCACAAATTATTTACACTCACTTTTCTTTATTGAAATACACAGTCTCTAACTTTTTTTTCATTTGTCACTTTATAAAAAATAAGTAATATAATAATGATAGTTTAATGTGTATAGTTAAATATTATCATTTATTGAAGCATTTCAACAAGCACTGCATAGAAAGATCGCATGTTGGAAACACAGTGCTTTTCGACATTTAGCACAACAAAATCTTGAAAGCCGTCTAATATTAGCTTCTAATGTACACGGTTCACATCGTCGTTTTTTCGTGGCTCTCTTGTTTTTGTGAGCCATTTTCCTGTGAATTTGGTCTGAATCTTTTGAGTCCTGTCTACAAAGTGAACAGTATCCCACTCGTGATTTCACTTCTTTGTTAGCTGTCCAAGAACAAGTTCATGCGATAATTGTCTCAAAAATATCTTCTTCGGAGATCTTTCTTACCATTCCCATGACTCCAACATTCTATAGGCGTTGCAGCATTTTTTGCGTTTCCTATAACACCGGTAAATGTCTTAATAAGTTCTGGGATTTTGTTCGAGTCCTATTAGAGGGAGGTTTGCTACACCATTTGTAGATTTATCTCTACTCATAAAATATTTATCATTATGTTTAATGTTTTTTTTTTCTTCCTCACTCTCATCCTGTTCGTCCTCTTGTTCTGTCTCAGAATCGACTTCGCGACTCTCTAGATGGTCTTCGTCACTTCCACTTCATCACCTAAATCGTCAAGAAGATTATTTTCATCAGCATCATCATTCAGCATTCTTAGAATCTCTTCTGAATGAGATGGCTTTTCTAAATTATATATTTTTTACCACTCGCCATATTTACTAGCCTATAAAATGTATGGACTCAAGTTAGTAAACATTCGGGCGCAGTGAATCTCGTAGATACTTTCAAAAAATTGCAATTAAATGAAAAGTATTGAGATATATATTCAAAAATACGTAAAAAAATACAGAAAAGAATACTTACATTCACAAAAAATTGCAATATTCTTACGTTCAAATGTTGCACGTTCGGGCGCAGTGTATCTCTAGGATCAAAATACCGATTGCCACTATATGTGAAGGTCAACCACAAAATGATAAAGACGCATAAATAAAACATATAAAATTAGGAGGCTATTGAAGAGTGAGGTTTCTATAACATTCAACCAAGGCGCAGCATGAAAATTTATTGGCTCTGTATCTGTCAGATCGGCTGCGCCCGACGAAGGGTTAATAATATAATTAACCATTAATTATAATTAAATAACCTCTATAATCTCATACCAAATTTGAATTTATTGCAAGATTTTTGGCTGCTATTCATCAAAATC